CTGTGTCTGTCTTTCTCTGGTCAAATGAAAATAAATGAATGAATAAATAAAATGGAATAAATAATTCTAAAAAAAGCAATATATGTTCATTGTAACAAATCCATCAGCAAATGAAGAAAAGAGCAGCTTTCTTCCCTTTTGTCCCCAATCCTCCTTCCAGAAGCAACCACTGTGGCCTGGCTAGTGGGTAGCCTTTCAGGCTTTTCCTGATGCTTATGCAAGTATTCTGTATGTACAGTCACTATTTTTGTTTTGCTTTTCAAAAATTTGCTGTAGGGCACATGCATTTATTGGAGAGAGACAGAAAAATAGAGCAAGAAAGTGAAAGAGCACCCCTTTGAGGAGGATGGCCAAACCGCTGTCCCTTTTCCTCCACTCTCAGGACTTGAGGCGTACACGCACATGCACTTGGAGTGATTTTCAAGCTGCTGGGTGCAGGACTCAGACACACAGTGGGCTGCGTGGGATCCAGCTGCCTTAACCTCATGCCACCACCTGGCCCCTTGTTTGGCTTTTTAAGTAAACTGACTATTCTACACACCATCTCCCAACTTTACCTTTCTAATCTGCTTCATAAAAAATAGCACTTAAGAGGAGTTAGCTTTAAAGCTTAGAAAACTTAACCATAATGCAGAATAACTCCGAGTTAAAGTACAATGTGTGTCTTACCACTGATTGCGTCTTACAGGTTTAGTTTCTTTAACTATGAGCCATAAGAAAGTGGATGTTCCCATTGCATTTGTGCTGTATCATCTACTCCCTGTGATTTTCTTTTCTTTTTTTTTTTTTTTTTTTTTTGGAGAGCTTTTTTTTTTGCTATAGGACGTGTGTACTCACCAGACAGAGAGATGAGAGACAGAGAGATAGAAAGCGAGAAATCACCCCCGGGGGGGATGGCCACACTGCAGTCCCTTCTCCTCCATTCTCCTCTCGGGATCTTGGGCATGCATGCACATACGCCCGGCGTGAGCTTTAAGACACCGGGTCGGGACGCGAACCGTGGTCGACTACATGGGAGTCCAGTGACATAGCCGTTAACGCTAACTGCTGGTCCCTCCCGGTGATTTTCTTGGGATTATAGTCACACATATCCTTCAGTATGAATGTACTCAAAAGTGTGTGTTTGTGTGGGCCTGGACACGAAGGTTTGCAGGTGGTGCTGAGACTGCTTTGTGGGAGTGTGCGGAGTGGTGCATGTGGTGGTGCAGGTTTGAGTTAAGGTTTTATTTCTTATTTGTCATTGCCAAAAAATTGTTATGTGAAATTGGGATCATGCTCTTTTGGGACATAAGCCTATAAAACAGAAATGTGATTGGTTTAATTTTATTGCTTTGCTATTTGCCTTTTTTCTGTCTTCTTTTTCTTTCCTCTTTTTTTTTTTTAAAGTTCTGTTTCGCTTTTAGTTTTTGCTCTAGGGCACATGTTCTTTTCAGAGAGAGAGAAGGAAGTAAGAAAGCATACCCCTGATGACAGTCCCTGTTCCTCTTGGGATTTTGGGCACGCACATGTGACTGGTGTGTTTCTCAAGCCACCGGGGTCTGTGACTCAAACTTCGCAGTTGGCCATTCAGGATCCAGTCACCTTAACCTCCGTGTCATCTGCTGGCTCTGTTCTCTTTTTTTTAAAAACTATATATTCAATATACGTGGGCATTTCTCCCCAACTCTTTGTGTGTAGAGACACTTCGTTGTCTTTTGTGTCTGTGTGGATGTGCCATGGTCTGTTTGCCCACCCCGTTATCGAGGGCCATCTGTGTCCATCTGGTGATGGTTTGCTACTGAGGATGGTGTTGCAGTGAACATCCTTATCACCTGCATCTGAGCACATTGGCATGGTTCTGTAGGACAGAGCCCGAGAAGTAGACAGCACCTTCTCTTCATTCAGTCTCTTCAGGCTGGGGAGATCGAACGGGTGGCCTCTAGGGGTTGGAGTGGCAGGTTGGGTTAAACAGTTTCATTGGTTTAGGGATTTGTTTCATTTGACAGTGTTGTTTTTTTTTTTTTTTTCTCTCCCAAATCTCTTTTCAGACCTTGCAAGAAAAAAAAGTTATTCCTTGTCCTCCGTTTTATGAGTCAGATCATCCTGTCAGAGGTAACACTGCTGTTTGTTGTTTTTTGTTTTTGATTGCGGGGGGTGGGGGAGAGAAACCAACTCCTAATGCGGTGTAGTCATACCACAATCCCTTCTCCGCCTTTTCACCTGGTTGGGATCTGGGGCACACACACACACACACACACACACACACACACACAGTGCTTTTCAGGGGGGGGGGGGGGAGAGATTCCAACTACGTGGTAGCCTTGTGAGATCCAGCTCCCACAACCCCCAAGCTGGAGGTCAGCCCAGCCTTGCTTTTCTTATTGGGCTGACATTGAGTGAGGTGCCCTCTGTATTACAGAAATTCACAGACCCGTGATATTGCTACATACTTGTCTGGGAAGTATGAGTGCCTGCTTGATGAATAATGCTGCTATCTCAGCCCACTCATTAAGCCAGCATAACTGTAACCCCCTTTGCCCCCGGGAGACACCTGAATTTCCCTTTGCCCCCGGGAGACACCTGATTTTCCTGGTATATGGTACTCATGAAACAGTTTTTATTTTATTTATTTATTTATTTTTTTGGAGAGAGATTTTTGCTGTAGGGCGCGTGTGCTCGCCGGAGAAACAGAGACAGAAAGTGAAAAATCACCCTTACCCCTCAGGGAGATGACCATGCCACAATCCCTTCTCCATCTCCTCTTGGGATTTTGCACCCAGCATGAGTTTTAAGCCACTGTGTTCAGGACTCGAACCCCATTATGTAATCTGTGGGTCCCACATTTTGATTTTTTAAAATAATTATTTATTAAATCTTATTTATTTATGTTAATTTACTATAGGGTACATGCGGTCACTGGAGAGAGAGACAGAGAAAGTGAGAAAGCAAGGCACCTGGTCTGGGCTTCGAACTGTTGTCAGCCTTGTGGGAGTCCAGTGCCTTAACCACCATGCCACCTGCTGGCCCCCAGTTATTTATTTATTTATTTATTTATTTATTTAGATATATTTTTGCTATAGGGCACGTGCACTTGCCAGAGAGACACAGAGGCAGAAAGAAATCACCACCACCCCCTGGGAGGGGAATGGCCACGCTATAATCCCTTCTTCTCCATTCTCCTGTCGGGATCTTGGGAACACACACATACATACCTGGCATGAATTTTAAGCATCTGGATCCAGGACTCGAACTGCGGTTGACTACCTGGGAGTCCAGTGATGTAACCATTATGCCATTTGCTGGTCTCTGGTTTTTTAATATTATGCTTTATAACTTGCCCTGATTATATATAATCCATCAAGAAAAAACTACCACTTTGGGATAAAATTTGGGCTTCTCAAGTCTTTGTATCTGAGAATGATATTTAGTCTGTGATATCTGGACCTTTGTTAAAGTTTTTATCTGTAGTATGTTAAATGTTATGGCATATAGTGGCTATTCCAAACATAAGATGCTTTTTGCTTGATCTGGTTGCTGTGGTTTTTATTACTGCTGATCAGGGTTTGTGTCTTCCAGTTCTGGATGTGCTGTGGATTGGTACATATGTCTTCACAATCGTGTATGCTGCTGCAGATGGGACCCTGGAAACGTCCCCAGATGTGGTGATGGCTCTTCTACCGGTATGCATGTGAAAAGACTTAAGTGAAAGGAGTCTTTTAACAAAGATGGAAGCTGAGGCTTCAGGTTTCTTTCTTATTGGCTCTGATGGTGCAACTGTAGGTGCAAAAGGTTTTTTTCTTTTTTTGTATGCTGTAAACTCTGAGTCTCAACTTGATGAAGACAATTATAGAAAAGCAAGAAGTGTTTTTTTTTTTTTTTTTTTTAAAGTTTTGCTCCTGTGTGCTCAGTGGAGAGAGAGGGAGAGAGAAAAGTGAAAAATTACCCCCTGGGTGGAATGATCATGCTGCAGTACCTTCTCTTCCATTCTCCGCTCAGGATTTTGGACATGCACACACACATGCCCAGCGTGTTTTTCAAGCTCTGAGTGTGGGACTTGACATGTAGCTGGCCATGGGGGATCCAGTCATCCTAACCTCCCTGTGTCACCTACCAGAAAATACCTTGATTTGAATTTTTTATTTTCATTTGTTACTTATCAGGTATTTATCAAATGCCTATTGTGTCCTAAGCACTGCTTTACAGTCCTTGCTTTTGTGGAACTTAAATTCTAAGGACTGAGATCAGCAATAATAAGGGTAGGATAAGGGCAGTGGGGAACGTAAGAGGTGGATGGTGACGGGATTCAAACTGTGGTTGACTACACGGTAGTCCAGTGAGATAGCCATTACTCCAACTGCTGGTCCCTGCAGCCTTGTTTTACTTCATAATATATTGCCAACATCTTTCTATGTAAGTAATATCTGTAGTTAGCCGTTTAGATAGAAAGTCAACTTATTTAGCCCTTCCTTACCATTGTATACTCAAGTTGTTTTAAAGAGCACTGTGATACTTTCTTTTATTTACATATTAGGTAATTATGTTTATTTTTTGGAACATACACCTAGAAAGGAAATTGTTAGGTCAAGGGATGTATGCACTGTGATATATTCTTTTATTTACGTATTATATAGTTATGTTTACTTTTTAGAACATACACCTAGAAAGGAAATTGCTAGGTCAAGGGACGTATGCTTTTTTTTTTTTTAATATAAGTTTTTGAAAACACTGCCTAAGTATCTTTTAGCCAAGTTGAACCAATTTATAGTCCAGACATCAGTGGGACTCCCCACCATGTGCTTTAGTCTGTGGTGGCACCAGTTTCTGTCCTGGCCAGTCTAAGATAAGAAATGGAACCTTGTTTTAATGAACTCTCTTCAGTTCTTGATAGGGTTAAATGTTTAAAATATGCTTATTGAGATGCCTTATTTCAAAAAAACCAGAATTTTCTTTTTCTCAGAGATAATATTAACACTAGCATTTACTGACTACTAGGGTTCCATGTACAGGACTAGACGCCTTCTGTGTATTATTTCACACTCGCTACCTGCTATGGTTTGTAGGTTCATCATCCTTGGGAGAAGGCTGAGTATCAGAGTTGAGTAATCTGCCCTTGCTTGTCCCAGGCCCGAACCAGGTTTGAATTCAGCTCAGTTACTGGCCAGCATCCATGTGCCTCGTGCTACTTCGCACTGCCTTTGTATCATGCTCATAGATTATACATAGAGTTCCAGGGAATTTTCTCATAAAGTGGAAGCCGTTTTTTCAAGATCCTTAACTATGAAGGAGTAAAGAAAAGTAACTAACAAATGGTTTTCCCCTCCCTGTTCACTGCAGAAGAAGGAAGAGAAGCACCCTGAGATCTTCGTGAACTTCATGGAGCCGTGCTATGGCAGCTGCACGGAGAGGCAGCACCATTACTACCTCAGCTACGTAGAGGAGTGGTGAGTGGCAGGCCGGGTTCCGCCACCCCCGGCTCACACTGAGCTGGTCACCTCATTCTCCCGGGAAACTTGGTGAGGGAGGAGGGAGGCTGAGAACTGCTCCCGTGGTGAAGTTACCAGTCTCTGGTTTTATTGTTTAAGGGATTTAGTGCTGGCAGCATCTGCAGCCTCAACTGAAGTTAGCATCCTCGCTCGACAAAGTGATCAGGTAAAGTTTTCCTCTATTGTTACTTTTACGAGATACTTTTCTGGGAAAGATTTTTGGAGGGAATTAACTATGGTTAATATTTAAATGAGGTCACATCTCTTTAAAGGAGTTTCTGGGGAAGGCCACAGCTTAAATAATAGTGTGTTTTGGATGGAAAGACTAGGATATTACCCTGGAAAAACCCGTGTGAGTCTGAGGTACTCCTTCAGTGCTATAAAAAGCTCTTCTGGGGACCAGCAGTTGGTGTAATGGCTATGTTGCTGGACTCCCATGTGGATGACAGTGGGTTGAGGCCCGGACTCGGTGGGTTAAACTCACATGGGGCGTGTGTGTGTGTGTACCCACAATCCTAAAAGGAGAATGGAGGAGAAGGGATTGCGGCGTGACCATTCCCCCTGGAGTGTGATTTCTTACTTTCTGTCTCTGTCTGTCTGTCTCTCTCACTGGCGAGAATATGTACCCTATAGCAAAAGCCTCTCCAAAAAAAAGAAAAAGCCCTTCTGTTCTCTTAGGATCCACCGAGAGTCTACAGAAACATGCTGTGTAATCCAACCAGAGTATGCCTGGGTGTGTAGGAGGCTTCTCTTTTTCTTTAAATTTGGTAGAGGGTGTATGTGCTCACTTGATAGAGATGAGTGGTGGGAGGGGTAGTGAGAAATTGCCCTCTAGGGGGAATGGCCATACCACAATCCCTTCGCTTCCATTCTCTTCTCTGGAGTTTGGGTATGTACGCACATGTGTTCAGTGTGATGTTCAAGTCAGCAGGCCCAGCCCTCCAGTCGCCCAGCTGGCAGTGTGGGGTCCAGCTGCCTTGATACCATACCACCGACTGGCCCAGGAAAAGCTTTGTTTCATTTTAGAGTCCTTATTTTCTTCCTGTTTCTTGAGCCTATTACTTAACTGTAACCCTCCCTTTGTTTTGGAAGATAAATGAAAACCATACCAAATTGTGACTCATCAGAAATATTTTCTATTTGACTTTGAAAATCCACCAGAAAGAAAAGCACCTGTGTGCCTCCCAGCTTTCGTGTTGTCCTTGCAGGGCCCGGGTGGGTGCAGGTGGTTGTGGGATGCCATCCACTTACTGATTATGCAGAGTGACTACAGGGGGCACAGTGAAAAGGAGAACTTTTTTTTTCTAAATAATTTTTTAACTTTATTTATTAGTATTATTTATTTCCAGTTTGATGAGAGAGTGAGTGAGAAAGCAAGCCACTAGGTCTGGGACTTGAACCATGGTCAGCCACTTGAGAGTCTAGCACCTTTAACCACCACGCCACCTGCCAGCACCAGAGGACTTTTTTTTAACTGTCTTGAGTTTAAAAATGTTTTGTGTGCCCCTGTGAATCACCCTGTACACAGGTACTCGTGCCCTTTACCATTCAGCATTTACCATCCCTCTCTGGGAGGTGAGGAGCGCACAGGAGGGGCAGGGCTCCCCAGTGTCCGGGCAGGTCGCTTTGGGTTCAGAGGTCTCAGCAGTCTGCTTTACTGCTCTGGAACTTTCTATCTTGGGTTGACTTCAGAAGTAGCTTCTTATTAGTGCAAGTATCAATATTTTATACATTCACACTTTAAAAATACACTTTTATTTTACTTTTTATCAAAAAATTATATACTTCAAAATATCCAAATAGGAGAGAAGGGCTTATAAATGGGAAACCTGACCCTGCCCCAGCTGCGCTGGCTGAACGCTGCTCTCTGGAGGGTGCCAGGTTTGAGTTCCCCTCTCAGTGGCTGCCACCCTCTCCCTAGTGAGTGTGTTAGGTCTTAGTGGCCGTGCCGGAGAGAGGGTTTGGCGCATATGTCCACCCCCTTCTCCTTTCAGTAGAGGGGTAGCATTATTGTAATTCCTTCTGTTGGTTACTTTTGTCATTGTTTTTCCAGTTTACATACAAATTTCGTTTTTTAAAAAAGAGCTAAGCTTCTATGTCCATGGATAGCAATGTAATAGTTTATAATGGCTAGAAACAAAACAAATGCCCATAAGGAGAGAAAGCTGTATTTTATCTGAATTTACTTTATGTCAATAGTCCAGTAACATTTTCCTCCCAATACAGTACTCCCTCTCTCCCTCTAAAGTTGTTTCTGGGAGCCAGACAGTTTAGGTAATGAGTGAGTTAAGAGCGAGTAACTGCTTGCAGTTTTATATAGACAATAACTTTTTGCTTCCCTTTTAATGTGCTAAGCATTGTGTCTAAAAAAAAATATGTAATTCTTTAAAAGGTACCACTTCTGGTTTATTATCTGTAACCTTCAGAAACTGATGACATGAAACTACAAAATTAGTAATGTCTTGACATCTGTATATAAAACATAAATTAACTCTAATTTCAAACTCTCATTTATTAGTGTAGCACTCAATCTTAAACAGAAAACGAAAGAGAAGAAGCGGCTCCAAATTTAGTCTTATACCATTCTTTATAAAAGGAAACTGTTTCCTTTAACTTCACACCCACAATACACCCCAATTTCAAAACACCTTATTTAATTATCTTGGTTACGGACACTTGTAAGATGAGATTTCTTATTTCACTCCCATAAGCTTCTGGTTTTCAGAAAACCTGTGCTTTCCTTTACTGAAGAAGTCTGGTCCAGCAAATCCAAAGTTGGAGATCTTTGGAGGCTGTGTTGGAAGGTCTGCAGCAGCAGCTTCAGCTGATGGCTTCTCAGGGCTGCTACTAGAACGCCCTCCTCCATTACTTCGGCGGCTCCAGCTCGCTGCGGGTTTCAGACTTCTCTCCCGCCTTCCTGTCCACCATTTTCCCCACCCTGGCCCTACTTTTGCCATTTCAAGTGATGTTTCTACCTTTATTCCTGGTGGTGTCTCTTGATTTTCCACTTTGTGAGGAGTACCCTGGCAGCCCTCTTTTTTTTTTTTTTTTTTGGAGAGGTTTTTGCTACAGGGCACGTGCGCTCGCCAGACAGACAGAGAGAGACAGAGAGACAGAAAGTGAGAAATCACCCCCCAGGGGGGATGGCCACGCCGCAATCCCTTCTCCTCCATTCTCCTCTCAGGATCTTGGGCACGCACGCACACGTGCGCGGCGTGAGTTTTAAGCCACCAGGTCCGGGACGCAAACCGCAGTCGACTACGTGGGAGTCCAGCGACATAGCCATTACGCTAACTGCTGGTTCCCACAGCCCTCTTTTTCACAGTACCCATCTAGCTGTTTTCCTCTGCCTCCCCTCTGTAATACCAAAACAGATGTTTTTAGCATTCTGTCCTAGAATGATTACATCTTCTTTATCTTAGCTGTAAATTTTTAAAAAGAATTATTTAATTTTATTTATTGTCAGTTTTCAATTTGACCAGAGAGAGAGACAGAGATAGGGAATGTGAAAAAGCAAGCTACTTTCGGCTCTGGTACCTGAACCATGGTCGGCCATGTGGGAGTCCAGTGCCTTGACCACCATGCTACCTGCCAGCCCCTCACCTATAGATTGTTTTCAAAGTTGAAATCAGTTTGTGTTAGTGTGAATGTATGTCTGTTATCTACTGCATAGCTAGTGTTATTATCAATACATTTCCTTTCCTGGACAGCTTTTTCTTTTTCTTGCTTTCTTACTCAGTGAACACTACTCCCCTCTGGTTCATGCTGCCCTGTTCTGGTCAGCACTGAGAGCTAGACCAAATGTCAGTGAGTTTTTTGGTTTATTTTTTGCTATAGGGCACATGCATGCAACAGAGAGACAGAGACAGGGAAAGTGAGAAATCACCCCCTGGGGGATGTCCATGCCACAGTCCCTTCTTCATTCTCATCCCGGGATTTTGGACACACAAGCACATGCGTCCCTTGTGAGTTTCAAGCCATCAGGTTCAGTACTTAGCCATAGTCAGCCATGTGGGAGTCCAGCAACTTTAAGCATCATGCAACCTGCTGGCCCCAAATATCAAGTGATTTTAAACAACAGAAGTCATTGTTAGAGTGAACAGAGCTCATGGAAGCAAACCTAAGGAAAAGGAGAGTTTGTTGGAAAGAGAGGGATTTCAAGGAAACTGATCAGTCTGAGGAACTAGTACCAGGAACTGGTACCAAGGGCTAAGGTTACTTTCTGCATCTGGACCAGTGCCCACAGGGTGTCTCACTAGTTGTGTGGGTCTCTCTGTGCGAGACCCCAGTCAGCTGGAGTTCGTCCCAATCCCAGACTCCAAGGAGCATGTGTTGACTGGGCATAGCTGTTGAGTTCACCCTCATGTCTCTCACAGTGGTGATTATTCATTCACAGGTCAGGGCTGGGTCCCCAGGAACAGGTCGAGGGGTTGATTTGGAAAACTCACCTCTTGCTTGCCAGGTAACTCAGGACTTTCAGACCATCTTCCCAGATTTCAGAGCCTCCCAGTCAGCACATGAATCCATACCGAATCTCCTATTTCAGTGGTACTGGAAGGAACCAATGGAAAGCTCTAACCAAAGTGACATTTTCTTCTTTTTTCCCCCAGATTAATTGGGAGTCTTGGCTCCTGGAGGATTCTAGTCGAGCAGAACTGCCTGTGACAGACAAGAGTGATGACTCCTTGCCCATGGGAGTTGCCATTGATTACACTAACCAAGTGGAAGTTGCCCTCAGTAAGTGTGGCTGGTGCTTAATGCAGCAGTGGTCTCTGTCCAGGTCTGGCTGATACCGGGAAGCCAGTTTCCTGTTCCTGACAGCCTGCTCTGTTGGGCATTTCACCTGATAGGGAAGATGACAGGGTGCCAATTTGAATGGATGCTCACTGAGGAGAACGCAGCTAGGCACTGTGTGTGTGTGTGTGTGTGTGTGTGTGTGTGTGTGTGTACGTACGTGTACATACATACACTTTAGAAACTGGTGGAGATAGAAGACATGCAGATTTTATAGCTCGGTTTCTTTGTCCAGTTCAGCTCTCTGGCTCCTTGCTCAGGAGACAGTACCCTAATCCAGTACTGCACCAGGACCGGGTTTGAAGGCAGGATTGGGAACTAGAGACCTCAGGCCCGTGACTTCCAAATTGGACCTGGGCAGGCGCCCTGAATATGAATCCTGCCCTGTGGGCGCTTGACCTTGCTGCAGTCCGTGAGGTGCAGCTGCAGTGGAAGAGAGGCTTTGCTCTCTAGTGCTTCAGCATGGGTGGGTGTCCTGGGTGGCACCCAGCAGGTTCCTTGTCCTTCTCCTGTTCAAGCAGGAGTATTTCATCTGATTGACTCATTAACTCCAATTCTCATTAAGTCTTAATTGACAAAATACAGTCTCAGGATTCAACTGAAAATGAGTGTGAAGTAACGCGACTCCTCTTTTGTGCCCTTCTGCGCATTTTCCACTTTTCAGAGATTTTAGTCTGTCATTTTTCTCCTAAACCAAGCACGTCCTAGTGATTCATGCCTTGGTTGGG